ACACACATCGCATGCTTTGACTGTTCTTTTAATGGTTCGGTACATGTTATTCATTCTGTATTGAGTTCGTAGTAACTGATATACCTTGTATGTGCCCATGTGTCCGAACTTCTCATGAGTTTCTTGGATTATTGACTGGTTCATGGATTGTGGTATCATTACTTGATGTCTGCCATGTTCATTTTTTGTAAATAGGAGCTCTTTGAACATGAAAAAGTGTTGACTTTTCTTACTGGCTACTTGTTGTATGATCCTTTTTAATTTAATATCTTCCTCTTGTAGTTTTTTGAGATGATCAAATTGTTGCATCAATGTGGGACTGTACTCCATGATCGTCAATCGGTTGATGGTGATCTGAATACCGTCCTTCCCTAACTGATCGTCGGGCGCTTGTGGGTACCTGGTGAGTGTGTCCGCCCCAATGTTTTCCTTTCCTGGAATGTGTTCAATTTTCAGATGGTACTCCTGGAGTTTTATAGTCCATCTGGTTAGTCGTGCGTTGAGTAGTTGGCAGCGGTTCAGGAACGTCAGTGCCTGGTGGTCGGTGAGTAAATGTGTTTCGTGTCCTAATATGTAATTGCGAAACTTTTTACATGCAAAGACGATGGCTAACAGTTCAAGTTCGGTGGTGCCGTAGTTTCTTTCGGCCGAGTTCAACGTTCGGCTGATGAAGCTGAGTGTCTGATGCTGTCCTTCATCAGTTTTCTGGAATAGCTCTGCGCCAATGTGAGTGGTTGATGCATCTGTACTAACATAAAATTTCTTTGAAAAATCTGGATATTGAATTATGATGTCTTCGAGGAACTGCATTTTGATTTCTTCGAAAGCCTGCTGCTGTGGTATGTCCCATTTCCATGGAACTCCTTTTTTGATCAGTGCACTGAGAACTTCAGTATTTTTTGATAGGTCTCTGATATATTTCCTATAGAAGTTGATGAATCCAAGGAACGCCTGTATCTGTTTTTTATTCTGTGGAGGTTGAAAATTTTGTATTGTCTTGATTTTTTCTGGGTCCATGGTGATACCCTTTTCTGATATGATATGTCCCAGGAAAGTGATTTTTTTTCTCAGGAAATGTGATTTCTTAATATTGATTTTGACATTATATTGATCGAATCGATTGAATATAGCTTCCAGGTGGTCCATATGTTCGTTGAAACTACTAGACGTGATGTGTAGGTCATCCACGTATATGGCAACAAATTGTAGGATTTCAGGTCCCAACACTTGGTCGAGGATTTTTTGAAATTCTGCGACGGAGTTGACAAGGCCAAATGGTAAGACCTTGTATTGATAGTTTCGGCCTTTGTGTAAGAATGCGGTTATTTCTCGGCATTCCTGTTTTAGAGAGCATTGCCAGTATCCGGCGGTGAGGTCGATGGAACTCAGATATTTGACTCCCCTGAATTTGTTCATGATGTCCTCCATGTTCATTGGTCGTTCTCTGTCGGGTATAATCCGGGTGTTTATTTTTCGAGCATCCAGGCAGATTCTGATGTCTCCGTTTTTCTTTTCCACCCCTACCATGGGTGAAGACCATGGTGAGCTTGAATGTTCTATTATTCCTAAATTCAACATCCTTTGAATTTCTTTATCAGTTTTGATGGCCTTTGACATTGGTATTGGGTATGGTTTCTGGTAGATTGGTTCCCCAGGAGTAACTCTGATCTGACAATCGAATTGCTTGATTTTCCCCGGGCTGTCGGAAAAAATATGCTGGTATTTTTTAATGACTGCGTTAAATTGTTCTTGTTCTTCATGGCTGATGTCGACTGTGTCGTCCATCTCGTCATGATCTATTAGAGTTATTTCTCGTAGGTTGCTGTCCATTGTTATTGGTTTAGGCAGTTTCTTGGAGAATGGTATTGAGTATGCTTTGTTATTTACTTCAAATTGTATGGTGTGGTTGCGGAAGTTTATTTGAGCGTTGTGTTGGTGGAGTATGTCTGCCCCGATAATGCCCTTTTCATTGAGTCCGTCTACTTGTATGAAGTTGGCGTGGAACACCGCGTCATTAAGTTGACACTTACAGAATACTTGTTTGGAAATTTTGCAGATTTGTTTCCCGACTGCGTTGCTTATCCGTACTCCACTGATAGGTAATTGTGGAATAGTAGGATCCTTTTTTACTATGACGTCGACAATTTCTTTGGTGAGAACACTAATAGTAGCACCTGTGTCTACCAGTAGTTCCACCTCTTCTCCTTCAACCCAACATTGAATGTATGGACTGAACGACTCTTCTTTATCTTGTATCAAATTGATAGAATGTGACTCGCCCGGGTGATTTTCACTGATATTATTGGTAGTCACCTGATTTATTTGTTGTGTTGTGTCACGAGACTGCGGTGGCTGTGGTTGTTGTGACGGCTGTTCGTCCCTGTTGTTCCACCTGCTGTTCCGTGGCTGATTGTTGTTACGTTGTTGTGTTCTGTGACTCCAATCATTTTGTGGAACTCTGTGGCTCCAATTGTTATTGTTTTGATTGTTGTTTTGGTTGTTGTTTTGATTGTTGTTTTTTGTAGAATTATTAGAATTGTTCTCTGGAGGTTGATCACCTTGTCCTTCTTCCCCAAGTATTTTCATTGCTGCGAGTATGGTACAATCGGGTAATGAGATAAGTATGGCACGGAGGTAGCCTGGATAGTGCTTGGCGATGTGTTTGACTATTTCTTGTTCGGACAACCGCGGCACTTCCAGATGTCTTAATTTTGTTGCCCATGTAGCAAAATGTTCACGGTAATTTGTGTTGGCTGGTACCTGCTTAGTGCTTAAGCATTGACTCCAAACTTGGATTTGGATTTCTCGAGACCAAAACTCATCAATAAATGCTTTTTTAAAGTCATCATAGCTGGATAGTTGAAACCTTATCGTCGAGAACCAACTGAAAGCAGCTGCTTTTAAACAATCACCAACAATAATAATTTTTTCACCAATATATGATTGCTTAACAGCGAAGTACTCCTCAAGTCGATATAAAAAGTCTTTTGGATGTACATCACGGTTACTTCCAAAAAATGTGGGGCGTGAGATTTCAGTATTGTGTCCCATTTCCGTTTTTTGGTCGTGTAGCTGTTGTCGGCTAATACGATCACTTTTAATTTTAATAGCGTTTAGCTCCTGTTCAATGTCTTTGTATTTTTCTTCGATTTCGTTAATTTTCTTATTATTTTCATTTTCTAAGTTTTTGTATTTTTCGTCCATATTATTACATTTTTCTTCAAGTTTATTTATTTTTTGTAATAATTGGTCGACTAGGTATTTACTATTTTGCTCCACTTCACGCTGGAACGCGTGGAACGTTTCTTCAGTTATGTTTTTCTTCGGTGCCATGTTCACGATGTAGTTTTCTTCTTTGCAAATCGACGTAGAAAATGACGTAGAAAATTTTCACTTTTAATCTTGGGGATCGAAGTAGAATTTTCTTCTCTATCGAGCCTCGTAGTTGGGCGCCAATGTAATATAAATAAATGAATGCAGAGACAAGTATTTGCTTCAAATATAATATTATCTTTTGTTTATTGACAATATTGTTCAATGTAGTTATTAAGTGACAATATTTTCTTTTATATATGATTTTAATTGCATTAAGCAATGTACATTTAAAAATACGTTTAGCAAGGATAAATTTGACAAAATACAAGGTAGTAGTATTGGACTCACGGATACTGCTTGGAAACTGTCACTGTAATGTCCAACTGAGCTGCTTGTTGCGGGTAGTCCGAAATGGTCGTTCACTTAGACGATGTATTAGCAGTTGTGCGAAAGTAAACGGTTAGGTAGGTAAAACTATTGATTACTACCGTATCAATATGTTTACCGTGTGTTTACGTATGAAAATCGACGTTCCAACACTGTGAATCGATCGGAAATATTATCACGGTTTCAACTATGTAACGCTGTTTCTCGATCGGCGGTTCTTTATGCTCGGTCGAGACTGCAACGCAGTTTCTCGATCGGCAGTTCAAACACAATAACGTTTTTCTTGACCGGACTGTCTGTGCTTCCGTTGGTTACGGTAAACACCAGTGTCAAGAAAGGGTAGCGGCGGCGAAAAACAACGTTTGGCAGCGGCGAAATATTAATCGGCGATTCTTGCCCGGTCTGTATGTGCTTTCGTTTGGTAACGATAAACACCAGCGGCAAGAGAGCGCGGCGGCGGAAAACAACGTTCGGCAGCGGCGAAATAAAGAAACGACTTTTCTTACCAGGACTGTCTGTGCTTCCGTTCGATAACGGTAAACACCAGCGGTAAGAAAGAGCGGCGGCGGAAAACAACGTTCGGCAGCGGCGAAATAAATATACGACTTTTCTTACCCGGACTGTCTGTGCTTCCGTTTGATAACGGTAAACACCAGCGGTAAGAAAGAGCGGCGGCGGAAAACAACGTTCGGCAGCGGCGAAATAAATAAACGACTTTTCTTACCCGGACTGTCTGTGCTTCCGTTTGATAACGGTAAACACCAGCGGTAAGAAAGAGCGGCGGCGGAACGAACGACTTTTCTTACCCGGACTGTCTGTGCTTCCGTTTGATAACGGTAAACACCAGCGGCAAGAAAGTGCGGCGGCGGAATGAAGTAAGTCGCACTGTTTGTGCTTCCGTGAATACGGTAAACACCAGATACGACTACTAGCGGAGAGAGAGTAGTATTTTTTTGCCGGTTCACCGGGGTCTATTTACTACATGTGATGACTACTGCTGGTTTTGAGATCATAGACTTCGGTGGGTAGCATTTTGTTGACCTTTGATGGTTCTACATCTGCGGGTGGTCTCGTGAATCAAAGGTGTGCATCCGGGGACATTTTCTTATTAGTAGTGGGACGAAACTTACTTGTAAGTTTCGTTTTTTCATCCGTAAATGTCGCTGGAACGTGTCGTTCAAAACGGTAGGCGAGTACCGCGACATCTAGTGTGTCTTACTTGCGCCTGCTGCGTACGAAACTGTGTGTGATAGTTCCGGCGTGGTCTGCGGGCGGCGCGTCGATAGCGAGTCCACACGCTATTGTGAGAAAAAAAATAACATAGTCCATTCTGTCTCGTTACAACGTGTATCACTCAGATTTTTAACAACTTTACCCTTACCAATATTTTCTTCCAAAATCGACCAACGGTTTGTTGAACATGAAAAAAAATTAAATAATTTTTGAAGCAAATCAAAAAAATGTGTTGCATAAAGACAGCTTTCAGCTGCATACGTCCCAATTAGATTGAGTGAATGCCCAGAACATGGAATATACTTTGCTTTTGGATTTATATTCTTGATTCGAGGCTGAAGACCTGTATACTGTCCACACATATTAGCCGCATTATCATAGCTTTGACCTTGGCAATATTCAATTGGTATTTCATATTCTGATAATTAATTTAAAACAGTTTCAGCCATATCTTTAGACTTGTGTCCAACATTAGCAATGAATAATAAAAACCTTTCTACTGGTACCCCCCCCCCCCCAAAAATAGCCCCCTCTGATGGCAACTTTTATCTAGCCCTAGGCACGTGCCTACCCTGCCTATACGTTAATCCGGCACTGGCAGACGAGGATTGACCGCGCCAATCGTCGACCATACACTTGTCACTGGTATATGCGGTATCTCGACCGATTACCAATTACCAATTATTATACAATAATCTACGACCGCGCGTTCTACTAAAAAATAATATTTAACTACGATACAGTAAAAAAAATGTGCTATAACATATATGTGTAGACGCAACTATTAACGAATGTGCAGGGTAGTATTATTTGTGTGGGTACATTAACTATAATTATTATAACACAAACGATTTGGAGATGAACAGTATACACATTGCAATTAGGTACGCGTGGTTTCAAACGATAAGAAATCGTATTCTATTTTTAAATTAAAGACTTGATATGTACTAGAAAAAAGTAAATTTTCCATTAAATCAATGATAACTTTGTGTAATTTAATACCGACATTTCTTTAGAAAAGTCAAAACAAAGTCGACCGTAACACAAACAATATTTCAAATAAATAAACAAAGCGTAGGAGCCCGAAAACATATTTATGGTAAAATTGAAAATAATACGTCTATACTATTGAAGCAGCTGCCGGGCAAGGTAAATAAATGTGTATGCGCGGAGCTGATAAGAAGTGATAATATTATTGTATACATATAGAAGACCAACAAAATGCGATACGGTCAAAGAAGACTCAACCTCAATAGCGGCATAGATTTTACTATATGATTATAGTGCGTGTATTTTATGTGTATATATACGTATGCTTCGATGAATGGCGTACACGATGCGACTGTGCATGTACTTATATTGGATATTTGCGAATTTCTAGTTCGTGAGGCACCTATTCCTTTTAATACGTATCACGATAAACCCGCGGACCAATTATTTAACGATCCGTGTTAAACGGCTTAATGTGCACCGCGTGGGAACGTTTTTTATTATTAATATACGATTCGAAAAAGTATATTATATGCACTGCAGCGTTATCGCGTAGGGCTAAATAACAGTAATGTGTGCGATATTTCTGTACCTACTACATAGGTCAACTAATGCAAGTCCATTTTTTGAAATTTTGAGTTAGTTATATCATCAGAATATGCTTCTTGTGATCTTTTTAAAGGTATCAAAACGTTCTATATATACAATAAATGCATATATAGCAAGAAGTATACTAACTTAAGTCTTAAACTATGATAGGAGTATAGATACTTATGTTCAGCGCTTACATAAGAAAAGTAATACAAAATAATATTTTTGAAGTATATAATTGTAAGTCCATTGCAACAAATATTTTTGTTTTGTCTCTCCTCTAAAATTTGTTTTTTGTGACTTGCGTTACTCGACTTCTGTGGTACAGATTTGTATTCGAATCGTATACCAAATTGATACCGAGTCTGCCTGCCTGCACATTATAAACTCACGTATATTATTATATCGCATCAATTCGACGTGGACAGTCGCGGTTTCGAGGGAATAATGACTTCGAGACGACGTCCAGAGATTTATTGTACACAAACACAATATATGTATATATAGTATATTATGTAAAAATGTAAGAAATACAGTGTTTTTACACGAACGGTTCGGAAAAGATTTAACGCGAGTGCAGCAGCGAAGACTAAATCGCCTTTGTCGCAAGCAAGTCACACGTGTGGTGTATATATACGACGTAAACTCGTATAAAGGTGAATAATATATATTACAATAATAGTAATATGTGAGAAAGAAAAAAAACCTCCGTTAGGTCAACCGATGAAGTCGGTGGAAACTGCACGAGTGCAGTAATAGATTATCATTATCGCCGTCGTCGTTTCAATAATATAAATGCGCGTATACAATATACGTGCATATAATATAGCATTATATTATAACATTATGTATTATTGTAATGATGACATTTTTTCCGTCTTTCGGGGTGGAGACTTTTGTGCAGGGACGTGACGTGTTCAATACGAACCGGTCCCCGAGATCGTTTCACGCGCAGTTTTCGTATACATATTATATAATAATAATAAATATCGTACACATGTGTCGCATCGACAAAGATCCACCGGCCGAGACCGACTGACGACGACGATGGGTATTATAAAATAGAATAATAAAACGACCCTGGTAAATACGTGCCCGGTCATCATCCCGCGCTCATATATTGTACACGCGCACACCCGAAAAAGAATAGAAAGATCTACAACACCTCTCTATGGACGAAAAATGGGATTCTGTGTGCGCGCATATTATTATTATTATTATATGGCACCAATATACATATTATTATTACTATTATAACACTGCCACAGTTGTGTTGTGCCCGGTGATATCTTTTGTATGCGGCGGGGTATGTATTTATTTTTTCTTCGCCGTCGTCCGGGTCTCTTCTTCTCCGGATCTTTTTCGTGACCGGGAACGCGTCGACCGCATTAGAACAGCTCCTCGTTAATACCTCGACCACGGTCGCGAGTCACGATCCGACCACGTTCGCTAAACGTCTAATTGTTGTTGCTGTATACGACTACGGAGGCTGCTGCAGATGGGGAACAAAAAAAAAAAAAATAACCAAACAAAAATACGAATAAACTACGAATTATAAACGCACGCACGTCGAACGCATGTAATATATTACACACTCCAACAGGTAGGTAAACCACCTACTCGGGTGGGATCGTCGAAGCTGTCAAACGGGGCTGGACGCTGCGGCGCTCGCGATTTCGTTGCGCGATTGTTGTCGTCGTACTAGCATTATATTTTTATATTGATATTATATAGGTACGACTTTAATACGTGCGTGTTATATTATATTATATTATATTATATTATGTGTTATTGCTGTCGAAATCGGGCCGATCGGACGCGTCGCAGTTTGGCGAGGTTAAACGAGTTTTAGAAATGTCAACCTCAGCTGCCGATGACGAGCTTATACATACCTATATAATATTATGTATAAAACACTATAGATAGGTACCTCTAATAATGACAATAATTATTGTCGTTTCGGATCGAATCGTGCTCGGACGGTTTCTCACGTTTTCGACTTGTACAACGAGCGTGTCCTTCCCAAAATTCCCAATTATTGTGTGGTATGCACTATGCACTATATATTGTATTACTTCGGTGTCTAGATAGAGTAGGTATATGGTGCCTCCTGTTGGTATACTAAAATGCTTTTTTCTTCTTTCCATTAGAAATGACAGTGTTTTCGAAAAACGATTTATGCGTCTATTATTATATTATGTGCCTACTGACCGACATAGTACATTTATGTCTATGTGTATTAGTATTATATTGTAAATAGGTACACACGCTTCTGCAAGACTTTCGAAAGCGACCTAATAGCTGTTCGTAATAATTTCTGTGTATAGGAATTTATCGGAGATTAAATTTTCGACGGTCACGTGCAGTGTTATAATAATGGTATTAGGGTTTTTCTTTAAAACAATTTCAAACTTTTGTCGTATACATGACACAGCAGGTACCGACTTGAGAGATAGCTTCTGCGTAGTTATTAGCCGTCACTAAATCTTCCGAACAGAATATTAGAGTTTCGAGCTTTCAGTCTCCAATGTGCCGCCGTAAATTGATCGCCATAAAGCTCAGTGGCTATTATAATGTTAATTTTTCGCTTCAAGTGTTTGGAAACCGTCGCAATTCACTGTATATGTAGATACCTTCTGCCTCCGAGAGTTCACTCGAAATGAAAATTCCCAAACCACGATGACGTCAAAAGACTGTCGTAAAATTGTGTTAAACACTATATTATATTATACCGGGAAGTCGGAAAGACTCCTAAACCATAATTCGCCCTGCCGACTCGTGTTCCCAAATCGATTCAATTAAGTTTAATTTGATCTCGCAGTCGAGAATACCCCCCCCCCCCGGGAGTTTTTTTTTCGTAATATGGTCAACGCCATTGTTTTTTAATAAATGTTCTATTATTGCATAGCACAATAAACAGATTGTAAGTATTACTCCCTAATCAAGCGATATTTCAAAAAAAAAATAATAATAAAATATGAACATACAATTGCAGCTGCTGCTCGTGCAGTGCAGCGCTAAGGCGTGCGTTTTTGCCAAACCGTTAAAATCACCGTCACGTAAATTTAGCGTATTAATAATAAATTGTTTGTTACGAACGAGAAAACGACTGCCGAGCAGTGTAATATGTTAGTATAAGATTGCATGTAATGTATTTATCGGAGATACACAGATGCGTATAATACCTCTGAGCATAATCGCGTAATTTAAAAAAAAAAAATGAATAATGTACGTTGTTTTTAATTAAAAACAAATATTGTACGTTCGTTTTTCTCTCTTACATGTACGCAGTTAATCAACAATAGAGAATAAGTACAGTGGGGTACATGAACAATATGTAATTTTTTTTCGGTATACATCAAATATAATTAAATACCATGACGCGAGTGCGATATCAATCGAATATCGCTATATATTGTGTAATTTAATCACAATATGAAAAAAAAATTTTAATTTTTCGATTCAATATAATATACTGTTTGAGTATTATAGGTACGATAAATCACACGTCATATTATGCTATATATCATATAAGTGTAGGTACGCGGGTACGCTCTGAACTGAAAATTATTAATTATATAATTAATTGCGAAAAAAACATACAATTATTGTGTTGTAACATTAAATTATTGTATTTGATCGGAAGGTTTTTTTTTAAATCTATATAATCGATTTAATTTAGCGTATTGTTATTGACAAACAATATAATAGTATATAACGTCCTTGCAGCAGTAGTCGAATGTAGTGGCTTCCGAGTTGTAAGTAATTAATTTTCGCTAGT